GTTATTATTTCTTTCTCTCTTTGAGTACTTTATATTTTTTTGACTGACTTTTCTCATTTTCATCTTTCACCTCACTACCTTTCTCCTTGATGTACTGATATGAGGTGTGGGAACTTGGAGCGTTACGCAGTAATACCTGGTCCTATATTGATAGATGATGATGATGACGAAGGCAATGGTTGTCGAACGCCTGAAGCCTTCTCATATCCTCTGTCGTCAATAGCTATACAGTAGGATAGAGCGAACTGCAGCGCGATACACTCGAATGGTTGCAACTTGAATCAGTGTGCTTCTGTGTGAGGTCCCAAGTTGATTTTGTCTATCTTACTAGACAATTGGATATCACTGTGTCGCCGTTAATGGTGTAAATCGGTTAAAGCTGTATCTTATTGACGTAGGCAGTTGACTTAACCAGTGGGTCGTGGGTTCGAACACCACTCCACCTACCGAGGTTTAGGCACTCAAGTAGTATCTTTAGACCTCACACAATAATTGTGGCTCATTATATACTGTACGAAAATGTGAAGGCTGTATATTTATGTTTTGATTTCAATTTACTCGGTAACATGACAAAAAATCTGTCACCACTACAGATGTATTCGCTGTTTGACGTTTTCTGAAGTTTAAATATTTTCACTAACTAGCATTTTTTGAATTCCTTCCTTTCGTATCCACTCTTGTTTTCCTCAATGTCACGCTTTCTTCGCCGTTTTGCCTGTTGCTTTGAAGTGTGGCAATTTCACAAAAACTTCTTTATTAAGTTAGTGCTAAACATGTCACCAAGCCTGGTTGTGAAACCTCCACACCAAGATGCAGAACCTTGGAGAACACTTAGGCACCATCATTCTCATCCTAAGCTTTGAATCTTTCCCATCATTTTAATTCGAATTTTGTTGGTTCAAAGCAGATCTTTAAAAAGATTATTAATTTTCATCCACTGAAGCTCAAGCACATGCATGTATTCAGTGTCTTAGCACATTAGAGGCTTTATGTCAATGACGCATTCAGATGTATACGGTATAGTGAGCAACGGTTAATCATTGAAAGTAATCCTCAGTGTTCTGAATATCGTCTCAGTTACTTCTTTTTTTTTAGTGCAATGGTGATTCTTTCTTTGAGGAGCTGTGGCTTAGATAGACCGTCTGCCTATCAAAGTAGTCAATTCCTACAGGTTAAAACTATGACTTAATGACCTGCATATGGAAGAGGATGGGGAAAAAAATGGTTAGTTTTGATGTTATAAGTCGTTATACGGAAATACCAATCAATATGGCACTGAAAACAGTCGCAAATCAACTAAATATTGAGTCAGAACTTACTCATAGAACTAAGATATCGGTTGATGAAATCATTTTAGGCGTGTAGTTGTGCCTGATGTCCATAATCTTCAAGTTTCAAGGCAAAATATACAGACAAGTAGAATGAGTAGCAATGGGATCACCAATTTTCCCAATTGTAGCAAATGTATTTATGGATACTTGGGAAAACATAGCTTTACAAACGTTGAATTCTGGACCTAAGATATAGTGGCAATAGAGGGATGATATATTTACTATGTTAAAATCGGAACATATCAACAGTTTCCTCATCGACAAAAGAAGAGATAATTCAATGAAGAGGATTTCCTTTTTCTATGTTATATATGTTATATGTTATATCACAAATATATAACAGTCTATTATTAAACAATAGTGTATAATCGCATCATTAAACTAGTGCTAAAAAAAACCTAAGTCAATAATGAAAAGTAGTTGCCTAATAGTCTTTTAGACAGTGGAAATAATGAAGAAGGCAATGGGTTTGATGAGGTGTTAAATTGTTAGTAGATGAGAAGTGTGAATATTGAGTGTCCACTTGATAGTTAGATATAAAAAAAGGTGAAAAAAGAGTCAAGGCGATAATAATTATAAAGTAACTAATTATCGTGAAATCGAGAAACTGTGAGTGTTCAGATAAACCTAGAGAATATTGTGCTTCATTCAAAAATTGGTAGTTTCTACCTATATAAAAGATATATAGATGATACGTTTATCATATGTGTTCAGAATACAGATATTGAGTTGAATGATTGATCAACATCACATTAGAATTTAAAGAGAACTCAGAATTCCATTTTCTCGATGTCTTATTGAAGCGGAGACCATATGGTTCGGGAGCAATATCGAGGCATCTGCATAGGAGTCCATATGCCGATAGAGACCGATCAATTCGGTACAATCAACAACGGTATAATACAAGGAATCATACTAAAACTATGCCCGTCGTACAAGAAGTGCCTATCGTGGCTCTGAGGTTTAATGGCGTTTGAAGCGATCGGTCCCGAGTTCGAATCCCGGAGGGAGCAAACTCACTGGGAGGCAGGTACATCCAGCTGACGTATGAGTCCCAAAGAGGACGAAATGCGCATCTTGGATTCCACTGCTAGCCACTATCCATCATTACTATCTATAATTATCTCATCCAGTGGCAGTTAAGAGAGGTTTAGTCAAATGTCTAAATAATAGAGCTAGACAACTCACTGGTCAATGGAAGGACTTAAACAAGAAGTTGAAGCACATGAAAAAGCGTTACTAATTAGTAAGTATCCTCTACCGTTTACTCAGAAATTCGTAGGAACACATAAACGAAATGATAACAGTAATGCCGAGTATCGATAATAGCGATAACACGATTAGGAAGGAGATCACAGCCACTTTTATGTTACACTGTAAGGAAGGAACATCAGAAACTTTACATAGAATCCTCAACAAGGCTAGAATTAAGATGACATTTAAACCTACAAACTCATTCAGAGAAAGCTTTGTCGATTAGCCTAAGGATCCGATAGAACCAATTCAGCAAAATAATCTAATCTATCAAATTTCATTCAGTGACTGAAGTCAAATACTTAGGCCAAACTAGCTGGTTGGGTTCAGTTTGACTAGCGGAGCATAGGAATTTAGGCAAATAGAGAATAACAGAACCCAATAAGATCAATAATCTAGAAAGTAACTAGGCTATTCCAGCACACAACTACGCAATACAGTGGGATAAAACCACTGTACTTAAGTTCAATATAACTAGGTAGAGAGGGAGATTGCTTACTGATTCTTTGTTCATTGAACCTACGCATATAATAGGAATAATACAACACCTATGACAGAGATACTTAAAATTTTACTCTCGATAAAAACGAAGGATATAAGGTGTAATAGGATTATGGAAATCAGATGTCGAAAGTAGTGTGATTCCATTGGTATGATTATGAGCTGGAAACATCATAAAGTAAATAATACTGTGTCGCTGTGTGCTATACCAAATAGACAGGCTAATATATCAAAATCGATACTTGTGTATAAGGGCATAACTTCGGTATCACAGTGAAGTGAGCAAAAATAGAATATTACTAGAGTAGAGAAAAGGAAGTATGAGTGAAGATGAAGCAATGAAGTCTAATGGAAATTTTCTTACATTCAAAGATAGTAAATAGGAAATAACATCAACACTATTGTGAAGCAATTTTGACTATTTCATTAAATGTATCTACTGTCAATAATTCGTAGCATTGCTCATTCTGTGGTGCCACCATATACGATCAGTGAAACTCTATACGACCCCTTTTTAACACCTGTTAACCAGTGTTGGACGTAATGTAATTCTGTCTCTTGAGTAGTATCATGTTTGTGAAGGGAGCTGATTTTGAATTCTTTTTTATGGCTATCTTTTTTCTCCTTACTGAACATTCTAACGCAAATTCATGATGAAGAACAACACCTGTCATAATACTGTCAACTTGAACGGGAGATCTTTACCACAAGTTACTCGTATTGTTATTACTGGTATTTCAACACCAGATTCACTTACTAGAGATGCATTTTTCGTTTAATTATTATCTGCTAAGCAGAGATGTGTTCTCTCATTAGCTAGCTTGTTTATTAAATCCTCTTCACACTGTTTTTTCAGCTTAGTGTAACTAAGTGCAGTTTCCCGTACGCCACTTTATTGATGTATACTGTTTATGAAGCAGCAAAAGGCGGTCAGTTCATATAATGTTATGATCGGTAGTACGACCTAACAGCCTACAAGCGATACGAGCCTAGCAGACTACAAACACTACGAATCTAATGCGCAAATGAATTGATTTTAACGCAAATCAGAACGTCAACCACCACCACAACAACAATGCCATTAACGCCCAAAGACAAGAAGATAAGATGGACCATTGACAGAAACCTTTTTACTATCTCAACAACAGTCAATATATTTGACTACAATGCTGAAAATGTGCATTTCTAGATGACCTTGGCAACACTAAATCCATATATAGGTAACAACCAGTGAGAGTTCAACCTTGAGAGCAAAGGGAAGCAAAACTAGCAACTGTATGAAAACAACCATGTAGGTTATTTTAAGCTCATGGGCAAAACAAGCGACAAAGACTATGCAAAATTAATGGTGTAAATGAAACAGTGCTGATGTCAGAATCCTGTTTGTTAGTGCATCATGATCTGGTTTAACCTAAAAAGTCGGTCAATTCTGGCTTGAGACGTTGTCAAATGTGACTCATGAAGAGGATCGTTAGCGGTCCAGTTGCAGGTTTCTCTGCTTCTGTTTCGATAATAAAATTTATTGTAGAGGATGGGAATGTCTTTTTCCATAATTGTTCTTTTGCTAAACTGAGTTTTTTTATAAATTATTTTCGGCCATCCTTGTCTTCCTATCGCCTGTTAGTGCCTTCTCTTCCCTTAGCCTTTAAGCGCGGACGGAAAATTAACCAGTTCCAAGTACTGAACTGTGGAACACATCTGTCGTTTTGGTAGCGGATTCTATTTCTTATTATCACCCATTCAAAGTTGAGTCACAGCTGCAGCCTACTAGTATATAGCTTGCGGGTTTTTCCAATTCTCTCTTCTCATGACAGGTAATGTCCTCTTGGCATTCGATTCTTTTTTCTGTTATCATCATTTTACCCTATCGAATATTGCATGGATTCTTTAAAGTTCATTTGTTTTCCTCCCTAGCTGGTGCTCAAACCTAACTTGCTTGGATGTGTCTTGGTGTAGTGTTGGAGATCGTGGATTGACTGCTATTGCTCGAGGATGCAAAGGTTTACAACGTTTTCGTGCCATAGGCTGCCAGGAAATAACCAGTCGTGGTGTGGAACAGTTAGCGCGTCACTGTCATAGCCTCCTATTATTAAATCTGAACTACTGTGGACAGGTATGAAATTAATAACCTCTTTCTTTTGCTTCTGAAAATTTTCCGTCAAATGTTATGATAATCATCATGAGGGATTCTGTAAAGTCAGCGTTGGTCAAAAAAGTTTTCCCTTCATAAATATAAATTGTATGATAAATTTCACTTTCATTTTGACTGTCTGAAATAACATTGATTTGGTAGTCTAGTATTGATACTTGGTAATGATTGAAGGTGAAATGGAAATTTGAACTGCGACTGGATTCGAACCAGCGATCACCAGGTTTTCGGCCCGATGCTTTATCGTGTCAGCTACAAGGTTCTTAAAGCATCGAACTGGAAACCTGGTGATCACTGGTTCGAATCCGGTCGTGGTCCGAATTTCCATTTCACCTTCAATCATTACCCAGTATAAATTTCATTTTGTCTTGGTTTGGCTTATAATTTACGACACGGTGAAATAATATTTTATTTACTGGACAACGTTTAGGACAAAAGTTCATGTTCATGAAATGGTAGTATTGTGTTGAAAGGAAGCTAAGGACGCCGTTATCGAGAGAGAGAGAGAGAGAGACATAGAACCTATTCATTAAATCTCTGACTTTTGTCTTGAGTTATGCTGGGGGTTGTTTCCAACCTTTTGGTTAGCCTCAGTGTAAACTGAAGATTGAAAAGGTGGTGTCATTTCTATTTGATCACAGTGGTAGTGATGTATTCGTGCCATGCGTAATACGGTGTATATTTGCATTCTCTTTTCTAAAAGCAACCTTGATGTGTTTTCAATTATCCTTAAGATATATATATATATATATATATATATATATATATGTATATATATATATATATATATATATATATAAACTATTGGTATTATTGCTTGTATTATACTGTCCTTGACTGGGCCGAATTGATCGGTGTCTATTGGCATATGGGCTCCTGTGCGGATGCCTCGATATTACCTGTGTTTTAATTATAGTAATGATGGATAGTGGCTAGCAGTGGAATCCAGGATCCCCAAGCAGTAATACTAAAACTATGCCCGTCGCACAAGGAGTGGCTATCTTGGCTCGGTGGTGTAGTGGGTAAGGCTCTGGCGTTTGAAGTGATCGCTCCCGAGTCCGAATCCTGGTGGGAACAATGTATAAATGATTGTTTTTAACTTTTAGGTCTGTTTATTTGTTCACAACATCGCAACACGTAACTGTATTGTTTTGTGTGGCGTATCACTTAACACCCTGAATCAACGACCATGTTTGTTTTCGATGTAAGAAAGCTATCACAGGATGGTAGTAGTTTCCACTGTATCTCATCAGGTTTTTCAATTAGTTTCTGACTAAATTCAGTAGGCTTGAAAGTAGGCAGAAACCTCCCTTTTCAACATTATCATTTATTTATGTTGTGTAATCGCACTTATAATCATTTTAAGAAGTTTCTAAGGATAAAAATCGATTACGTAATACTACATCAAATGGTGAAAGTAGTATTATCAATGGCATATTCAATTTGGGAGGGTTGAGAACTTTTTTCTGCATGTGAGGTGAAATCTAGTCGACAGCAGAAAAGAAGGTGAAGAAAGAATCAACGATCCAAATAAAGGGTGTTAGCTGAGAACCTAACAATAATATGATGAGTAAAATAGAGGGTAGGGATTAAGATCCTGACGAATAGAAGATATTGTATAGTGGGCATCGTTGATAAGAGTGGATATATGTAGTTTTTCTATCGTCAGCAATGTTACACTACTAAAGTTCTGCATCTGTTGAATATCCATTGAACATCACATCTTTGATTATTGTGATATTATGTGTCCTAGAAATTGAATAACTTATTCCCATTTCAATTTGACAGGGAGTTACAGATGAAGCTATGGTTCATCTTTCGATTGGTTGTCCTGATCTACGTGTACTAGCTATATCACACTGTTCAATCACTGATCAAGGTCTTCGTGCAATAGCAGGTACACTTTCTCCAGCTGCAGCAGCAGCTATTATTGGACAGACTTCATCTACCAATCAACAGAATGGTATCCCGTTAATTCTTTCTGTCCCTGCAGTAACAAGTAATGGAAATGTTGTTAACCATCAAGATTCAGCTGGAAATGCTGATGATAATCAAGTCGATCAAAATTCAACTGGAAACAATAGAGAAAATAGACGTCAAAAACCTAATGATTCTAAAACAATGCCAATTCCTGTTGGATGTGTTAATTTAACCACCCTGGAAGTTGCTCGATGTTCAGCTGTTACAGATATTGGTCTATCTGCCATTGCTCGTGTATGCAATAAGGTGAGTTATTTCTGCATATTTTGATAAGATTTTCTTGAATGTGAACACTGTGCCAAGGGTGAAATAGATGGGGCGGGGTTCGGACCTGGGATGCACTAATTAAACATCGAGTCCCTTGGCGAATGAGCTAAATTTCCACTTATACAATATATCGCTCTTTAGTTTACGCCTAGCGTACATGAAAAGTCGAAATGGAAATGCATTCAATAACTATGTATACATTCGTGTATTAGGCAGTGAGCCATACCTGGTCCGTGACGTCTGTCAAAACTTCGTTAGGTGGAGCGGGTTTCGAACCCGTAACCCATTTGTTGAAAGCCAACATCCTGACCCAGTGACTCTCAGCATGTTCACCTATCTCATTTTATAACAAAGGATGATATCATCTGAATATAAAACAGAAGATTTAGCACATGCACTATCAAGAAGTTGACTGGCTTATATTAAGTGTGAGTATTAACAACGTAAGTATGATCATATTATGTCACTTTCACTTCTTAATCAGTGGATATTTATTGCTAAGACTAGCGTAAACAGCAAAGAATTTCGTCAAAACGTTCTCATTTATTGAATAGGAACAAAGCTATTTTCGAGCACTGAATATTTAAAACTCATTTGGATGATCTTGTTTGTAATGAATTCTTCCAGCTAGATGGTTTATTTGTAAAACTCTTGTTACCTTTCTAGATAAAATCATTAGCACTAACTTCAGTATGAAGTGGTCTGTCAATATCTTTCCCTGAGTCATTTAGTAGCTTGCCTTGACGAAGTGGTCTGTGATTGGTTGTTTCCTTCAACTGTTGTGTCATTGACTACTGTATAGATTTCCCAGTTGGCTGTTCCTCCACCTGACCTTTGACGTTTGTGTCATTTATCATTTTGCTCATTGGTTGATAGATTGGATCTATGTCTACAAATCTATTGATTGCTGACTGACTGACTGACTAACCTGAATGTCAAGCTTCTAGGAATTCTCTGGTATTCTTTGTTTCTTCTGTCTAAAGTTTCTACATTATCAAAATTGAATTCATGTCCATAGTTATTATCCATATGCATTGAAATGAGTGACGAAATGTCGTGGTGTTTATTTAGACGAAGGTGTTGTGATTTTGTAAGTGATGCTCGGTTTGTCCTCTTTGGCTGTTGCATCCTTTGGTCTACATAATATTAGTTTGAAGGGGATTGATTAGTTTCATGAACCACACCATATTCTTTATGTTTGGATATACTTCCGTTAGTTCAACCAATAAGCATTGAAGAAAAAGTGTTTTTTATAATGTCAGTCTTTCAATAGGTAAACACAACTATAGGAGAAACATGTGTTTCTTCGATGGCACCTTTTTTGTTGTTGAATAAACATTCTTCTATTCTACACTAGTAGTTTGTTATAAGCAGTTGAAGCTATATTGCCATATTTCATACTTATGAAATATCATCAATCCTCATATTGTTAGCGTTTGATTCCCCTTCTCATACCAATGTCTTATTTAGCTTTTGTCGATGAACTAGGTAAATAGGTTAACATAAAAGAAAGAAAATGTTTATTTGGCTTACCATTTGAGCCCTATGGATAAATTGGACAGAATCTTAATTCAATCATTGACAACTTCATAGGTAGGTGTTCCCGATCATAATAAAAATCCACTTCCGCGTTCAATCATGTTTTTTTCATCATCACAAACTGACAGTAGTCATTGGATAACAATCCTCTGCTTGCTAATCACTTTCTTCGAGATATACTCCCTAAAGTTGTAACGTATGTGGGCCAATGAAGTTGATTATGATTAATCGGCGTTACCAGCTAGGTGCCGTAAAAACTGAAATACGAAATTGAGCTGCTCACTAGATCTTGATTTCACTTCAAGGACTAAGGGTTTCGATTTGGGAGATTTGTGGGGGATTTAGAGATATTTCAAGTTGGTATTCATCGTAGAGTAACATCAGTTGGAAGAATATTGGAAACCTGGGAGCACTGGACAGCTTTTTCGTCCTAGTATGGAACTTCTCAGCAGTGTGTACCCACGACTGCGCCGGGGATCGAACCCGCTAGCTTTAGCTTTCATGGACAGCACGTTACCATTTAGCCACTGGGTCAGAATCCAGTGGTGCATATTTCTAACTTCTGTCAGTTCACGACATAACGCTACCGTCACCCAATATCCTCGTTGAGTATTTGTCCTCACGGCCACCAGGTTTGCCCCACTGTTCATAACTTCTCACTGGAACTTCGGGAATCACCTCTCAAAGCTAGTCACTAATGAGAACTAGATGAATTTAATTTCGGGGGGGGGGGGGGGTTGCAGGGATTTACAGATACTTCAAGCTTTGCCTGGTTACTATATGAATTAATGATTATGTAACTATTCGTTCATCGTAATTATGAACATTATTATTATGATTATTTTAAACAGCTTGAAAAATTGGATCTTGAAGATTGTGCTTTAGTGACTGATTCAACATTGGCTCAATTAGCTGTACATTGTCCACGATTGAATACACTTGTATTATCACATTGTGATCAAGTGACTGATGAAGGTATTGCACGATTAGCTGAAGGTCTTTGTGGTTCTGATCAATTGCAAACATTAGCTATGGATAATTGTCCTTTATTGACAGATGCTGCTTTAGAGCATTTAGGCAGTAATTGTCGAAAGCTTAGACAACTTGATTTATACGATTGTCAATTAATAACAAAACAAGGAATTAATAGTTTAGAGGTGAGTCAATAGTTTAAAACACCTATGTGTTAATCAATATTGTTTATATATATTTTCGTTGTAAATTTCATAGAAGGAATAGTACAAAAACGTTTCAAGAAAGTGAACACCTGATTATGATCATAGCTTACTACTAACTCAGAAACAACGGCGTCTATTAGTAGATGATGCATATTTAGTTTCAAACAACAAATTAACGTCATTATTCTTATCTTTGACGTAATGGATATGCTTTAAAGTTTAGTAGATCAACCTATACATGATGACGAACATAGTGTCTAAGATTCTAGGTTCCGTAATTCTTCAACGCCTGAGTGGAGCTCGGGAACAACAAGCCTGAGAAAACCGAGCAGGCTTTAGACCTGGCCGTGGACGTATCGATCAAGTATTCACACTGCGCCAGGTTTTGGAATACAGACACGCTTACCAACGCCCGACACTAGCTGTATTTCTCGACCTGAAGGTGGCAGCATTCGACTCCGTTGATCGAGAAGTCTTATGGCAATGTCTCTCACTGAAAGGGGTGCCGAGTAAATACATCACTTTATTGAAGGCTCTCTACTCGAACACTTATGGTTGTGTTAGAGCCTATGGTGAGATGTCAAGTGAGCTGTACTCATCAAGTGGTTTCCGTCAAGGATGCCCGCTCCCCCCATTCTTATTCACTTTCATCATAGATATTCTTATGGAGACCTCCCTCTCGTCACTTGACGACACATAGACGTTGACCTAATCACAAGAGAATTTTCGTTAGACCTAGAGTATGCAGGTGACATAGTCCTGTCAAGTGAAGACGCTGACAAGATGCAGAGTCTTCTGAACACTTTGAGTGGGAATTTGAGAATGTTTGAGATGCGTTTCTCACCACGGAAATGCAAATTGCTGCTACATGATTGGTCTTCAACAGTGCCCCATTATGGCTAACAATAGAGAGTCAGTTTAGTGGTTGAGTCTTTCTGTGTATGTCTGCTTGATGTACTGATATGAGGTGTGGGAACTTGGAGCGTTACGCAGTAATGCCTGGTCCTAGGTTGATCTGGATGGATGGATGGATTATGATATGTAATGTTTATTGTACATTAAACTGTTGGTGAAACAAAACTAAGGTAGAACCTCGTACACAAATGCACCGGTTGAAGTTACCACACTTCGAAGTAGTATATAAAGAGTAGCTGGATAAGAAAAGAGTGACGATGTCATCAAAGTAGAGCAAGCTGTGTGAGATAATAAACAATTTGAAGACAACGGTTGGTGTGAATATTCAAGTAGCTTTAGAAGGATGTTATGAAGTGAATACATCTGTGCCATTGTGACCGGTTTTCAGCCATGTTACCAAGAGTCCCCAACCACTGATTCTTTTCATCTTGATGACCCCAAGGAGGTAGCCTGCATCTCCCCCCACACGGCTCAGACCAACAGGGAGTTCATCAGCTGGCGCCAGGTGTTGGTGTGGCCACCCTGAACCCTCTTCCAACCTAATCCAACTCTAGCATGGTAACCCTTTGACATGAGCAACAAATGTCCAAGCCATTTCAGTCGACTCGAACCCGGGACCGAGCACTTCAAACACCACTAGGCCACCTAGTTTGTGTGTATAGGCTAGTCATATTTTTCAACAAGATGATGAATTACTTTTAACGCATGCACAATGCTGAACTGTAAAAATGAAATGTAAAGAGTCATACGCATAGGAGCCCATCGGGCCTGTGTAGTGACGGAAAATTACAAGTATCAAACAACAACAAATGATACCCGTTGGACAAGTGGTTTTTCTCGGTATTTGAAGCGATGGGTGCTGTGTTTCAGTCTCATTTGGAACAACGTCACTCACTGGGGATACAGGTACATTCAGCTGACTAGTGAGTCCCAAATAAGACGAAACGTGTATCCGGGATTCTACTATCAGTCACCAAGATGAACAGAGTAAATACAATTGCGACTGAGAATTGGGAAAGACCTTAACAACACTGTTGGTTATCACCTTATTGACAGTGGACAATAAGTTGGTGTGTAGAAATCATGAATTCAAAATTGTTACGTTCTCTTTAAGTGTTAGCTATTCAACGATTATAACGGGATTTACATATTCAGAAAGAGTCATCATCAAGTGCCTACAATTGTTGAAAGAAATCGTTTATATCGTTGATAATCATGGTGATTTTATGTGTCATTATCATTTCATGCACCTTTGTTGTTATTCCATTTCACATCCTTAACCTTATGTCTAAATTGTTTTTATCTGATTTACTTAACTAGAGTAAATTGTCTGACCTTTTTTTTTGGTGAAACATTTCTCAATATGTGAAATCCATATGTTTGCTTCACATTCCACTTTAAAACATTCATTGGATCCTTCGTATAATTCAACAAATTGAATAGTAGTTCTGGGGGTATACCCCATTCATTCTCTCATTCCATAAGTGTGTGTATTCAACTACGTCATATCAATGTGTGTTATATTTTCTTCAAATCGTCGATAATATTTTGATACAATTAAATCTGAGAAAACAGCGAATATGTAGTTTATTTGAAATGTGTTATGAATACATTTGAAGCATACTGATCGTATACTTACTTGTCATGAATATTTGCATGAAATATAACAAAGGATAAATGGGTTTGAAAATGAATCGATACTGAAAGGGGTCAAATTGTTAACTTACAGGTCAAATGAAATGATAAACGAAAAAGAAAAAAAAAACAAGATGATATTACACTCATCATTCTTGATCTTAAAGTTGAGTTATGAAGTCAGTAGTAGTAAAAATACTTCGTTTATAGCTAGAAGTTTAACAAAGTAAAGTATAAGTCTCCAAGTGATTTTGTAAACAGGTTGGAAGAATGCATTACAAATCAATTTGGTGACCCGTTTCAAGGATATTTTTCACTGTGGACAAAGTTCTACATCTATTGCTTTGATGAAGAGGATCATTCCGTTTGATTTGTTATTGCAGACATTTTGGAATGTACTTCTTGGACCTTACTTGCATAAATCGATGGGTCCTCCCTATGTAAACACATTTAGATGTGACTCCATGGTTTAAGTGCTGAGAGGGTTTACATGATTACCTAAGTTTTGTTTTCTCCATGATGTCGACCTGTGTTGGATAGTATCTTCTCTGGATAGCTACATTAAGTCTTTGTCTGTTTATCAGACTCTGTCGGTCACCCATATATCGTCGCGTGAACAGAACATCTTTCTTTGGAAGTAATTGAATAATGGATTTTCTTTGTGGTGCCTTTTTGATACTACTTTTAATTTCCTGGTGATAATAGTTATTTTTAGTAGTACTTTGATGAGCTTTTGTTCTTCCTGATCTAAATGTGGTTGAATAGGTGTTTGAGAAGTCCCCGTTTACGTTGAAGTGGACAAAAACTATGTCAAATGAAATAATCTCTCGTCCATATTGATTTCTTATAGATGGATCATTTTATTGATCTATCTTCCCGGTGAGTTTACGAGAGCGTGTAAGAATGACATGGACTCATCGTTTTCGAAATATAAAGTACGAAAAGAGAGGAAAGAAGAATGAAAAGTTGGTGAGATTCGATATAGCGTCGTTAAGATGAGGATAACGTGTGTATACATCTGCGCCACTCACATCGGTTCTGATCCATATCGCCTACAGTTAGTCTCTAACCACTATATTATTATCCCTTGGCTTCAGTAGCACCTCTCCGTTCCAGTCTGTTCTTTGCTATCTTTCGAACCTGGCTCCACGACTGCCCACAACCTCTCATTTCTTCCTCACACCATCTCCTCCATGTTAACACCTCGGACGCGCAACTCGCCGTTTCCCATTTGGGTTCCACTCGAGTGCCTGGCCTGGTGCGTGATGTCCCCGAATGGTCTTCTCAGTGGATGCCCAGTCCGTCTCCACTTCCTTCTGCATATTTGTTGATCGATAGGTTGTTGATTGGTTCGTTGCCAGTCAGCCAGTGTTCCTTGTTGCTTATTCTTGTTATTCTGGTCATCTGAGCTTCAGTATCGAGCCAGCGTTGTTGTTGATAAATGTCTGTAGTTTGTTGGAAATCCCTTCCGTAACGCGCCAAGTCTCTCAACCATCACATAGCAGCAGTGACTTGACCGAGTTGGTGTTGAAAATTCGGATGTTGTTCACGCTTTATGCTGAGTGCAGATCTCCACACTGGTTTCAGGTTAATGAACGCCTGTTTTCCTATTCCAATCCTGGCTTGGACGTCCTCTTCTGTGGGTCTGCCGCCCGTAGTTGAAACAGTGCTGCCTATATAGGTGAAAGAGACTACATCGTTTAGGTTTCTCCCGTTGATGGTGATTGGTGCTTATTGTTGTTTTTGGTGGTGTTGGCTGGGTATCTTCATCACCTCTGTCTACTCTACATTCACTTGAAGTCCCGTCTTCCTTCGCTGCCCTGCCTCTTCTGTCAACTTGTCAGTTTTCGCTTGTAGATCTTCGAGTTTGTGCGACACAAGACATTAGACATAAATCATCATTGGAGAAATCCAAATCTTCTTCTGGATTCCTTTCATCGGTAAAACAGCGTATGCCTATCTACTCGCTTCTTACTGTTTGCTGCATGTTCCAGTCGACCACAATCAGGAAGATGATGGGTGATAGCAGACAGTCTTGTGTTACTCCTGTCTTCACTTCGCTTCAAGGGCGTCGCTCAGCTTCCCATTGTGAATTACTTGGCATGTGGCGTCTTCATATAGTTGTTGAATGAGGTTGATAAAGGTTTGTGATATTCCATAATGTTGAAGCAGTTGCCAAATTACTTGTCGGTCGACGTTGTCGAAGGCCTTTTTCAAGTGGATGAAGTTGAGGTAGAGAGTTGACTGCCATTCTACACTCTGTTCTATGATGATGCGAAGCGTTGCAATTTGCTCCGCACGTGATATGTACTTCATGAACCCAGCCTGTTCCCGTCGTAGTTTTGTATCCAGCACATCCTTTAGTCTCTCCAGGTTGATGCAGCATAATATTTTGCTTGGGATGGACAGCAGCATGATTCCGTGCCGTC